ATTCCTTCGCATTTGCCGAGATCTCATCCAGCATGCAAGTCGTCATCCCTGATGACCAGAAGAAGCAATGGGATCTCTTTGTGGCGGCCAAGGACTATCCCAAGAAGATCCTCGCCTTTGGCGGCTGGGCCTTTTCCAATGAAGGGCCCGGTGCCGGCCTGTTCCGTCAGGCTGTCAGCCCTGGGAATCGGGAGGCCTTTTCTGACCGTGTGGTCAAATTTGCCAAAGACAACGGCCTCTCGGGCCTCGACTTTGACTGGGAGTACCCCGGGGCCACCGATATTGAAGGCTCACCTCCCGGTCAGGCGGAGGATGGCGAGAACTATTACCAGTTCCTCAAGCTCGTTCGCTCCAAGTTGCCCTCAGACATGACGCTTTCTATCGCCGCAGCGTCTTCATACTGGTATCTCCGCAGCTTTCCCATTGAGAAGATGGCTGAGGTGCTTGACTACATTGTCTACATGACATACGACTTCCACGGACAGTGGGACGTCGGCAACAAATGGGCGATGCCGGGCTGTGACTCTGGCACGTGTCTACGCTCGCATGTCAACTCGACAACGACCCAGGACAGCCTCGTCATGATCACCAAGGCTGGCGTGCCGACACACAAGATTGTCGTCGGTGTCACAAGCTACGGTCGTTCCTTCAAGATGTCCGACGCGGGTTGCCGCGGGCCGCAGTGTACATTCCTGGGTGCTCGCAACCAGTCGCCTGCCAAGAAGGGTCGTTGCACCGGTGAGGGCGGCTACATTTCCAATTTCGAGATTGATGAGATTATTAAGAAGGGCGGTGCCATCAAGTCGTGGTATGACGCCGAAACGGACTCGGATTACCTCGTCTACGAACGCGTCGAGTGGGTGGCCTACATGACGGAGGCGACCAAGAGCCGACGCATCAGCTACTACGAGTCTCTCAACATGGGAGGCACTTCTGACTGGGCTGTCGATCTCCAGGGCGAGGGCGAGCGTGGTGAGGATGATGGCGAGGACAGCGACTACGAGCCGGATCCCAACGACGACAAGTCGCTCGAACCGTGTCCGTACTCGCCAACGACAATGGACAACATCTACAACCTCGACTTTAGGAACGAGATACCACCCCACTGCGTGGGCAAGTACCTGATCCCCGTGCTGCATAGCATGCTCAAGGAGGTCAAGAAGCGCTTCGAGGAGATCCTCGGCGACGGCTACGACAAGTATTTCGGCTTGTACGCCGATCACATCTTCACGAACCGTCACGAGGCTCTCTGGCAGCTCATGATGGACGAGGGCAACGACTACTTCAACTGCGAGATCTTCTCCAAGTTCCCTTGCTGTCCTGGATGCGAGGCCCTCAACCGCCACAACTGCCATAACTGCATCAATGACTGTGACATCAAATGGTCCGGACACCCGGGCTGGGAGTGGCGCAAGAAGAAGATGCCCTGCCCTCCCGACTACTCGCAGCGCGGTATGGATCCCTCGAGGTACCATATGGAATCTATCTTCTGGGACTACAAGAGCGACGAGACCAAGAAGGACTTTGTCAACGAGATCTCGACCGTCGTCGGCGTCGGTGAGGAAGACATCTATTACCCAGAGCACCGTCCCCACCTCAAATCAAGGCTCGCCATTGAGATGTGCTTCGGCAGCCGACCCGGCGGCGACACGTCGTACGAAGCCATGAAGGGCGATTGCCAGGGCGAGCACTGGTGGCACAATGCCCCTACCATCGGCACCGGCTTCACTGTTGAGGACGTCTTTAATCCCAAGACGGAGATCAGCTCGACCCTGAAGAACGTCAACATTGAGAGTATCCTTGCCGAGTATGAGCTGTCCGTGACAGCCGATGAGTACGACGAGGACTCCTTCGACCTCATCGATGCCCTTGTCCTGCCCATCTTCATGATGTACTCGGGTCTCGAGCACATGGAAACCGTCGTCGAGATGGGCAAAGACATTGAGGAGGCCAACAAAATCGCCCTGATTACGAATCTCCTCTCGGCCGTGCTCCTCGTACTCGGTGGCTTCGGCGGCGTCGCGGCCGGTGCCGCGTCAACGGGCCTGCGTCTCCTCGGCCGCACGCTTGTGGCCCTCTCCGAGGCCGGAAACACTGGGCTCGGCCTCTACACAGCCGTGAGCGATCCCACGACCATTCCGCTCCTCATCTTTGGTCTCATCATGAGCGGCACCAATCTTCGTAGCGCCACCAACGTCGGCAAGGCGGCCAAGTTGAGGCGTGACATGAGCGCTGAGCAGATTGCGCGCATCAGTCCCCAGGCCAGCAAGATGGCCGGCATCGCGTCTAGCGCTCAGAAGAGGCCCCCCAAGCTTGACCTTTGCCGGTATGCTTAGGTAGGTCTGAGAACGCCCTGACTGGATGATGATCTAAGTCTAGAATATGGCCCATGAATTAGGATACTGGAGACCAAGTCTATGTTCAGCCGATAGAATATGTTTGAGTATGGCATCTGGTCTATCTTTGTTTCTCGGTAGTTCACGTCAGATGACGAGCCTCGAACATCACTTCTTTTCTTCATTGAGTGCTACATTCAACTGGTGTTTCCCCTCATATCACATGTGACCAGAACCAACACCCAACGACTGAAATTCTAGCTGGGATCGAAGGGAATAACTTCTTGGCCCAGATCAATATTTGTATGTCGTCCCGCAAGCCTCCTGGATAGTGGCGAGTGTCTTGCTCCCTAAATTATGCCAAGTGAACCGTGAAAAGTCTGACCTCAACACGACCATACTCCATGTGATATATTGTACCGAGGTGACCAAATATCACAGTGTCCCACTCGATCGAGTGGCAACACCGCCAAGGAAAACAACAAAAGAGCACAACAGCCGGAGTGAGCTCTCCCTTACTCAGAGGAGAGAGACCATGCAGGCACGGGAAGGATGAACTGCCAAGGGCCGAACGAGGGGCATTGAAATTTTCGCTCGCCTGCTGACATGGTCATCGTTTGAAAACAGAACATACGATCCGTAGTCCGTAGTCGATTGAGATCCGACATAAGCTCTCTGCTACAACGATACCACCCTGGTCTTATGGCATTCTTGGCATCTCAATCCTCCACACCTCATCCTTGGAGCCCAGCCCCGCTTGGCGCCTCATGAAGATGCATGGATCTTTCTGCCGGTGACAGGGGCACCGCACATTTGCACCCCCCTCCCTGATCACCCCGAACGCATCCCTGTGGAGGTCGACATCTACAGGGACTTGGTGTCAGTAAGGACCGAGCTGAGAAGGGCTAGACATCGCTGCTGAACCATTTTATTTGGCCATGTCTGGTCAAGGCACCGTCCTTGTTTCCATCCGGCCCCGGGTCAAGTGGTTCGGGGCTCCTATTCTCCCTCTTCTATGACCACAGCCGAGCACATCATATCCTTGCTTGTTTGCTCTCTCTTGATTCTGTCTCAGAAACACTTCTCGAACCTCTGTCGAGCATTTTGCTTGTATCACGTCTCGCTCAACACCTCTCTCCATCGTCATGAGACTCTTCCCTACTATCCTAGGTCTGCTGGCCGCCTTCCAAACCTGCGTGGCCGAGATCTCGGCCTTGGAAGCAGCCCGGGTTCTTCACTACTACGTCACCTACGATCTCGACGTCGAGGTCAACGGCCAGGGCAAGAACACCATCGCTCAGCGGTGTAAGGGCACCGGCAAAGACGGCCGCTGCAACTTCAACGAGTTTGTCAACTACTACGAGACGGGCAAGCCGACGAGCGAGCCCAGGTACTACGAGATCTCGTCCGGCTTCGCCTTCTTCCCAGGCGACATCGCCGCTATTGTCGACGCCCTCAGGCGCATGGGCAAGGTGAGCGAGCCCGACCAGATCGAGCGCCTCGTCAAGGGCCGCAAGACGGCCGTCGGCCTCTTCAACGACCTCGCCAAGATCTCCAACAAGAACTACGAGAAAGCGGCGTCGAACAACTTCTCGATCGGGCGCAAGCGGGCCAACGTCATGGAGACGCTCGGCAGCATCAAGCACTACTCGCTGGCCCGGGGCGAGGGCAACATGCTCGACCGCCTCAGGAAGATCAGGGAGGTGCAGTGGAAGATCATCCAGCGCAACAGCGCGTATGCAAAGGCCAGCAGCGAGCGCATCGACTGGCGCCAGACCGTCGCCGCCAACCCTGACCTCGCCAACAAGGACAGCGACCTCTTCAAGACCGTCGCCGCGGCCGTCAAGGGCGAGAGGAATGTCAAGGGGAGCCTGGCCGACCAGACCATCGCGCAGAGGGCCCTCGACCACTTTACTGCGTGCAACAGTTGATCGCGCTGCTGGCCTGCGGCGAGGGCTTCGGTTCATTGTGCTGGGCAATGCTAAGAAGCCTGGCCGGGTGATCGATGCGGTAGGAGCCTAGACAGTGCAATCAAGTCTAATAAAGTAACCCCAATTCTTCAGGTGTTCGGCGACTATGTTTCGCATCGGCCCATGGCGTCTGATGTCTGGACCCTGGTTCGCCATTGCTCTGGCCATGCCTAATCGCAGCATCAGCCCTTGCACCGTGCAATGTCTCCGGTCTTCGTGATGACAGGCTGGGAAGCGGTGATCGTCTTTGCAGCACGGAAACGCACAAGATGAGATCAACAAATAGAGCGATAAAAAAAACAATTGCTGCCCTCGTGTCAGAAACCTCTTGAAGAGCAACGATCACGCGGCCGCCTCGCATAGGCAGGAAACCATGTGTAGCTTGTAGCAGCTTCGGCGTGGTGCTATGGAGGACGCTGGGCCTCCTCTATATTTTGTGCATGCTAGTTGCATGAAATAGACATTGTGCCAGAGCAAGGCTCGGTTTAAAAAATCGTACTTTGGTTCAGAAGTGCTTCCAGTGGCTGGGGCAGCCCAGGGCATTGTCAAGCGTCGCTTCGGCAAGTCTGCCGCAAAAGCTTGTAACCACAATCACCTCCGTTCATAACAGCTCGTGGCATGCCTTCGACTTGGAAGTGACCATGGGAAACTGAAACTCTGGCTGCTTTGGCATCATGCCTCTGGCTGTTGACGCCGCAAGTCAGGGAAGCCCATATCGATCGACTTGCCTCAGATAGATTCCTCATATTGATACAGAGACATTCGAAAGATACCCAAGTAAATATAGGCAATGGAAGATTTTCTCCTGGGCCATGTGAAGTGCTCAAGGACAATGTCAATATGGCTGCTACTCCCAGCTGTTGGAGGAGGTGAGTTGACTCCACCGGCGCCAACGCGCTTAACGCGACACAGAAACGCACTGACCATGTCGAGGAAGCGCTGAGCTCAACCTCAGTCAGAGTCGCTAAAATTTCCATTGGCCTTGGGTCAGACAAGTCGTCGTCGTTGAAACTCCATCGCCAACGATCACCCCCCGACAGCTCCATCGCCCCAATTGAGGCCCTCGACACAGGCCCCCAACCATACTTCTCCTTCCCTCGACGACCTACGACTTCACATCTCAGAAAACGGCACGATGGCGCCTCGACTCCCGCCATCCTGCCTCCAGGCCCTGCGCCTGCCCGCCCAGCCGTCGCTCTCCCTCCCCTCTCGCCTCCTCCTCCCGAGAACCAGCCAGCGCGGCATCACGGCCGGCTGGTCGACCCTCCCCCACCGCTCCAAGCCTACCCGCTTCAACCAGCCGTCTGCCGGCCTGCCCGTCCCGACCGCTGGCCCAGCCGCCGCCCTCGCCCGCAAGGAGCTCACGACGCCCCTGCGCACCGGCGTCCTCGCCATCAAAAAGGGCATGACGTCCGTCTTTGTCGGCAAGAAGCGCGTGCCCGCCACCGTGCTGCAGCTCGACCAGGTGCAGGTGCTCGCCTCACGCACGCGCGCCACCCACGGCTACTGGGCCGTCCAGGTCGGCCTCGGCCAGAAGGAGCCGCGCAACGTCACGCGCCCGCTGCTCGGCTACTTCGAGGCCCGCGGTGTCTTCCCCAAGCGCCACATTGCCGAGTTTCGCGTCAAGGGCGAGGACGGCCTGCTGCCCGTCGGCGCCCAGCTGCGGCCTGACTGGTTCCAGAAGGGCCAGTACGTCGACGTCCGCTCCAACAGCCGCGGCCAGGGCTTCGCCGGTGGCATGAAGAGGCACGGCTTCGCCGGTCAGCCGGCCTCCCACGGAAACTCCAAGAACCACAGGACCATGGGTACCGCCGGCCCCTCGCAGGGTTCCGGCTCCAGGGTGCTGCCCGGCAAGAAGATGCCGGGACGCATGGGCAACCAGCAGACGACGGTGCAGAACCTGACCGTGCTGTCGGTCGATAACGAGCTTGGCATCGTCGTCGTCAGCGGCCCCGTGGCCGGCCCCAAGGGCTGCGTCGTCAAGCTACAGGACGCTGTCAAGAGAAAGGCGCCCACGCAGCCCCACCGCGAGGCCACGCTGTCGGCGCTGCTGGAGGAGAACGTCGATGCCGAGGTCAAGCTGCAGGAGGCGCGGGAGAGGCATCTTGTCATGAAGGAGGAGAGGAGGTCACGACCCGATCTATTGTGAACATGAACTGCTGCTGGTAAGTAGCAGTGACGGTGATGACAGTGGGCTGAAAGCGATGTACGAGACGAGTTGTTGATCCCCGGGGTTGTCCTTTTTTCTTTGAAATTGTACTATACACACTGTTGTACATCTATGCATATCATTGAGGCGTTCTGCGGGCCCTCACGCCAGAATAAAAGGCTCTTTGTCTCAAGAAGAACCCATATCCCAAACGACTTTCTGTTCAAAAAACCTCTCAAGCCACGTCCTAGTTGTACATCTACTTGAGCTTCGGCTGTTGCCTGAAGCCCCTGGTCGCCGCCGAGGCGGCCTCCTCGTCGTAGTCGTCCAGGTCGTTTCCGCCGACGATGCCCTTGAACGGATCCGTGCCGTCGAGCAGATCAATCTTGCGCCCGTCCGGCATCTCCAGGCTCCACTCGGTTGTCTCAAACATGCCCTTGTGCGAGAGACGGTAGCTCGCGAAGCGCATGACTGCCTCGCTGCGAGAGCCCTTAACACTGAACGCAATGTCGATGCGTCCGTGCAGCTGGTTCATCTCGCCGCTGATCCAGGGGATTTGGTGCTTGAAATAGACCTCATCTCCCAGTAGCTCACGGGCCTTGGGAGAGACACGTAGGGCGTAGAGCGTCGAGGATACGACGGGCGAAGAAGACTTTTGGTAGTTGAAGATGGCGAGCGACGAGACGGCGACAATGACGACAAAGATGGGGAAGGAGCGGGACCAGCGGAAGGTCGTCGAGGCAAGGTCTAGGCCATGGCCGTCAGCTATTGTCACAGATAAACCATGCATATGGCAGAGTAGGATGTACCTGGAAGCTCACGGTCGGCACGGCGCTCCATCAAGGGTCCTTGACCAGGCTTCGGCGCAGCTGTCATCCATCTTTGCTGAAGAGGCGTTCTCGTGCACTTGGCAACATTGGCTGTGGTGGTCGGCAAGACGCGCAGCGGCTGCAAGGCGCGTCTGCTGGCGAGCCTGCTGATCATGGCGGCGTGTGAAGACATGGGTGACTCGCTGGTGGCATTCAGTGTCGTCGGTCTCGGGTCCCTCTGATCAGACGATGCGCTCGAAAGGCGAGACAGAAAAGTTGACCGGGGTGTCGAAGTGGGGCCACATCACAAGTCGAAGCCTTGTCAAGCTTCAACCAATCAGACACAAGATGTCGCCTGCTGTTTCGTCATAAGGCTGTGAGTACTCGATGAGAGCCACGACTTCTGTCCAACAACCTAGCTCTACGCCGTAACTCGTGGCCAACTTGAGTTCCCTTCGTCCGTTCAGTGATCAGAAAGATACTGAGTTACTATTGTTTGGCATTCCCCCCTAGCACCATGGCGACAAGAGGCGCATCCGCCCGTCTCCGAAAGACATTCCACTACCCCGCCGACTCGGACTCAGACTCTTCCCAGCCAGAAGCCATAGACGAGCAAGGTACTGCCCTTCCCGCGTCACACACTCTCTCTATCTCTCTGTCTCACTCGGGGACGAAACTGACGC